ATATATATTATAGAATAGGTTGCTCACGAGTTGGAACAATAATAATTAAAATGAATTAATTTTTCCTATTTTTTTCAATTCACAGCTTGAACCAACCTAACTTAATTAATAGGATTAATCGATAAATTATAGGTTAAAATTTGAATTCAAATTTCGTATATAAAAAAATATATAATTAAAAATTTCCCTAAAATGATTGAAGAAGTTTTTTTTTATGAAAATTAATTATTAATAAAATTAGTAAATATTTTATATTGATAATATAATGATAATAAAAAGGAAACCAGTGATGATTTAGTTCAGAATTTTCATATTGAGTAGCTAAGTTGAGCTGCGTGGTGCAGTGTCCTAGTAATGTGTGCAAGGTGTTGGCTAAGGTGAGGTTGAATTGAAGCAATGAGAGAAAAATAAATTGAAATTTTTCATTTTTTTAATGTTTAGAGAAAAATAAACAATATTCCTATATTTTTATATTATACTTGCTTCTTTGTTTCATATGCAATTATATTGATTTTTTTTTTTTACTTTTTTAAATACTTTGGTGCTTCACGTATACAATTCAGTATCTAATTAAGATTATCAATAAAATATAAGATGGATATTAAATGCTTGAAGTAAATGAAAGGATCTCTCAACCTAATATCTCATTATTGATGTATAAATATATAATTAAAGTGTTCTCTATTGGCATTCCAATAGGGGGGAGAGAATTGCGAAATAACATCATCTTCATTAATTTCTATTCCCTAAAATTTTTAGAGAGACCAAAATAATATTGTTTAGTTTATATAATTAAAAAATTATGTAATTAAATTATTAAAATTTTATTAGATAAAATAAATTAATTATGAACAATTAATCAATAATTGATTTTTTCATTAGTTAATAAAAACTACTAATAATTTTATAAAAATAAATTGGTAATATTAGATGTAAAAAAGAAAGTGTGATAGGTTATTCACTTATTTTTGTCTTTCTTGGTGTGAATTTCCATAAGAGTTAACATAAAATCATAAATAAAAGTTACTTTTAATTTTATCATTTTCCTTTATCTCTAAGGAGGAGAGATTCATTTACTCTAAGAGTAAGTTTATCTAGACTTACTCCATTTAATAACTTATGTTTTACATCAAATTTCAATGATTCAACTGTTCAATTAAAAGTTCTTAATGCATAGATAAAGTCAGCAAATTTTTAAAAAATTTAAAAATCATTTGATACTTCATTTCATTAATTCAAATTGACGAATAATCATAAAATTATTTTATACACTAATTTGAATTAATGAAATAAAGTATCAAATAATTTTCAATTTTTTAAAAAACTTATAGATTTGATCTATGCATTAAGAACTTTAAATTGAACGATTGAATTGTTGAAATTTGATATAGTATATGAGTTATTGAACGAAGTAAGTCTAGATAGACTTACTCATGGAGTAAACAGATCCCTCCTCATCTCTAATTTCTTTGATTTTCTTTCTATTTTTAAATTATGACCTATCTTATTTTATTGAAGTCTCGCTATCAAATCATGAGCTTTCAATTTTTTTTTCATTAATTTCTTTGTGATATATCACTATTACTGATCCATTTTTTTTTATATAATAATTTTTAAACTCATAATTTCGTACGAATATATCATATATTTAATCATTTTTTATGCAACTGGATGTTTAACTATTGTATGTTTATGTTTTTAAGTTTAAAAAATTAGAATATAAATAATATTCAAATATTGATAAAAATATTATTTTTTAACTTGTTCCAAAGCATTAAAAAAAATTCAAAGCTGATCCTTGGTAGCCATCTATCTTGATGAAATGTTTATTGCTTTACTAAAATATACTCAATTCTATATGATTCATATGTCACTATATTAAATTTTTGTTTATAAATTTTAAATACATAGATGCTTCACTTATAACTTTCATTATCCCATATAATATATA